GAGATGCAACCTTCCGTGGATTCGCACAAGATCAAAATCAAGTCCCACTTTTAAATTAGAACAACAGTCGAGTACTACTTAGTTCCAAAGCAGAAAAGTCTGCCGCGATTCTATGGGAGAACCCCTAAGTATTTTCGAAAATTGGTGCAAGAGAGGCCGAAACTTATGGTTAATGAAACTAGGGGAGAATAACCTACCGGATGAAGAGCAGAGAATTGTAGTACTCCTCATCAACAGTCTGAAGGTCCTTCAACGACAGCGGTTTGTTGAGAAGACGCTTGTAAAAGGGCAGAGTGAATCCGTTGTCAATGAACTTGCCGTGAAACAAGGCCAAGGCAATGAATCGACCCACGAACCTATGGAAGCGGATGTTAGGAACCCACTGGAAGAAGAGACCTACCTAAAGTACTGGAGGTGCTCAGGATTCACCGACGAATTGGGATTGATCTGGAGGGAAAAGTTGTTACCACTGGCGTATTCGAAGAGGCAGTACATGGGGTTAAGAAGTTGATCGGAGAGTTGGAAAAACCATTCCCTGTTGCATAAACGAAAGTGAGAAAATAGAAATTGTAGCGCTTGCCTTTAACTAACCTGAACCCTGTGTCCTCACACTTAGCAGAATGTTTTAAAGCGAGGAAGACAACTGCTGATCTTAAATTGTCAATGCTGAGACGATAGCCCAAAACGAGCTCCGCTTTCCAGCGGCTAAAGCATTTCCCCTCATCAAGAGGGCAACAATAAAGCTCGGAGATCACAACCCATTCTGGTCCAATTGTAAATAAATACCACTCTTTGTAGAGGTCCCAGCAACAAAGAACACTTTCAACTTTGAATGTAATTCCATGACCATCACACTGTGGACATAAGAAGAGGGGAATGATTTGCTTCAGTGACAGATGACGCACCTCTGCACACCACCATAGTCAAGACCCTCCTCGTCCGCGAAAGTGACGGAAAGACGGCCTCGCAAAGACTTAGCAGGCACCGTGATAAGTTGATGGAAGGAGTCGTTTAGCAGATCGGATCGACGCACCCTAATTGTCACTTTTTCGGTGCTTGAATTTACATGGCAGAGGTAGCGAAAACTGGCCACTTTACGATCCAATGTCCATTGGTTTGAGTCTCTAGAAGGACATTAAGACAAGGACAAGCGGTTAGGGAAGCTCGAAGAGAGAATCTCCATCGCATTCAGCCAACTGATGAGCATTTTAACACCTTTGACCTCAAGATCGTACATGTTTGACGCTTTGAATTTCTTACCTACTCTCTCATAGCATGGACATATGTGACGAATTCTCGATAACCTTACAGTAGGTATGTATACGAATCGGACTCCATAGATGTTGGTGGTTTGAGGTTAGTTACAACCCTTTTAAATAGTATTTAATGAGTTTTCCACGTTCAAATGAAAGAAACATCAAGGTGGAGTGCGGTGATTGATGTTTTGTAGGCATCTTAGCATTGAATATGCCATGGAATACCTTTAAGTTCATGAGCTCTCTATCTCCACCCATTCTACTACTGTCTTCCCTTCTTGCCTCCAGCCCTCCAGGCCCTCAACGCCAGTGTGGCAGGGTATTACTGCTTCAGGAAAGACTTTAGTGAAATAACTGTTTCCAATGCGGTTCATCTTACTCCTTTGTTGTTAACCAAAAATTTTGTGTTTCCCACCAAATAAATGCCTCCATTTGCTCATTAAGACTACTTCAAACCGTTGAGGGGTAATAGTGTTCTAATTAAGTGGCTGAAGCCTTGGAAATCTTTGAAAACAATGAAAAGGTCTCCCTCGCCTAGATTAATGTGATGCAATACTAAAAAAGAGATCCAAAACTAAAATGAACAGCATTTTTGATTTCGCAACTGGCCTCAAAAACGGTTGATAACTGGGATTGAGTGTTTAAAA